TTATCTATGATATTGATTTCGTAAATTATTAACGTTTAATAATGTATGACCAGTGGCGTAGTTACGGGGAGGGTGTAAGGGGTTTCCACCCCCTACAGATTTTTTTTTTAATGATATTTGATTTTACTATGATTAGGTATATATTAAAAATTGAGTAACAAAATAATTTTCTTAAAATATGGGGCATAATAATAATACTATTTTAAATCTAATATTATTACATATAGTATGTTTTAGAAAACAATAATTATTATTGTCATCCTTTGCTGTTTCTTGGTAAAAACCGAGGCGATAAATACTAAAATTGTAAACAAATCGATCAGTTGTGTGAGTGTCTACTCTATTTATTGAACTACATTTATGATAACATTAAATGCTAACCAGTCAAATAAAATGCGATTAATGTTCGTACGTGCATAGTGCATGATCTATTTGTCAGTTATTAACGTTATTTTCATCATAGACAAGAATATTTCTGCAATAACTTTGTGAGTGCTATTTCACGCTTTTATCAAGTACAATATATATCTGAATTAAAAAGAAAATGTATGGGGGTGCCAAAAAATTTCGAATTAAAGCTAACAAAAGAAAAAAAATTGAAAATTGAAAAGGTTCTCTTGACAAATTTTACGAAAAAATTATTAACATTACAAACCTTAATAAATGAAACAATAGAAAACAATTTTAATATTAATTGTGAAACATGTTGTGCCTCTGGTAAGTATTTAATTTTGTAAATAATAGTAACATGTAATTTTAATTATTGTTATTGAAAATTTTTTACATATTGTAGATTTAATTGTTAAAAACTTTGATACTAGTTGTATTAGTACCCAAAATGAGTTTGAATTGAACAAGTGGTTCATATAGAAAATAATATTATTAGTATTGATAGGTGTAAAGTTTATTCAAGCTCATTCATAAAAGGTAAATAATTGGATAATAATTAAAAAACAATTCGGTGTATGTAAAAGTTAATTATGAATAATTTTGGTCTTTATTTCTTAATATAAAATTGTAAATAAATTATAATGAATATGAAAATATGTTGCATGTCTTTGTTGACTTGAACTCTGCCTTGGTTTTAACAAATAATTTATAATTTTTGTTATTGTGTTAAATGTATTTGCTATACATGTTTCAGATGCTCAAAATTGTCTAAAACTAGAAATATGTTTTATTTATTTGTGATTTCAATTTTGGTTAGATTATAAATATTTTCTTAATTTTTATATTATACTATATTGTTTGCATGTATATTCGTTTCTTGTGCTTTGTAAAACAAATTTTAATTTAACAAAAATTAATAATATATTTCAGTGTAATTAACTACCTATATTTTTTATTATGTTAATTCAACAATCTTATATTATTGTTATAAATTGTGAAATAATTTACATTAAATAGTAATTATAGTAGGTAATAAATTTGTTGAAGATATTATAATTAAGTAAACTATCAATATTTTTTCGGTTATTATTAATAAAATTATAAAATTATGTTATTATTAGTATCATTAGGTTGTGGAAATTATGAAATAGACTACAGCAAGTCGAAGAAAAATGTTGCTTTATAGCCATTAAAGATGTCATATGAATTTCAAGAATTTTTTGTGATGAATCCCCCGATAAAAATATGGATAAAATTAAAAACTTAAGACAGTTTTTTATGGTCAAAACCCATAATGATACCAAAAATTCCAAGAATTAAAAATGTAATTTTCAACGATGATAATACCTTTAATGCCCTGATAGATGACCCTCAACATCAATTTAAATATCTAAAACCGATGAGTATATAACATAGATATACCTATGTATACATACGAGTACATGAAATGTATAAATTTCCCAGTATTGAAACTATGTTACAAATCTATTTGACAATGCCTTGTACAAATTGTAACAGCGAACGATCATTAAGACGTGTAAAAACTCAATTGAAAACATGTTTATCTCAATATAGATTTGATAATCTGACTCTGTTAACACTAGAACACGAAATAACAAAACAATTATCATATGATGACACATTGATTTTTTTTCGAAAGACCATAGGAAAAAACAATGTATTTAACTGTAATATGTTATTATATAAAATAAAATATACATTTTTAAATAAGATAATTAATAATTTTATATGAGGTCTCTTTTTATTTAAGTACCTGGCCCCAGAATTTGTAAATCAGGCCTGACTATAGTATAATATTAAAAACGACGTTTCGGGAACAAATCCGATCACGTATTTATAACATATGTTTACAAACAATTATAGTATCATGTAATATATTAAAATATATAATCGTACTGCGGCGAATGTTTACTTGTGTACGCGTTAAAGCCGCAAGGGTGCAAGTTGTACCGTGATCGATACAGGTGTACATACGAAGTACTATACTGCGTGTGTTTCGTCAATTTATATTCTGTTCGCAAAATCCATTGTCGCAATACTAGAACAGCATTTCGGTTACCGAGATAATTGTTAGTTGCGGGTACAGTTTATCTTATTTACGTTACATAGTAATTTTATTTACTATGTACATTTTTCGACGTAGACCACAAACGAAAAAATCGTGTTTTTACCAACCACAACATCACAATTGAATAAAATTAGCGGTATAGTTCAATACATATTAACTATGTAAAGGTTTTCTTTTCCAGTCCAGTTAATGCATTACGTATCGTATACAACCTTGCATCGTCTTTCGACTGACTGAGTTTTCGATTATTTTCATAGAAATATTCGGTGACAACTGTTTATTATTTCCTCTTGTATCTTGGGTTATTTTATTTTCGAAACAAACAAAATATCCCGATTCATTATTTATGGAAAAATGCTAAACAGCTAATAAATATATTATTACAAAGCTTTCGAGAGATCTGACCAATTAATTTTTTCAAACAAAAATCGACGAGAAGAATAAAAAATTAATCAGTAACGAATTCATGTTTAGAGAAGATTAAAAAATTCAAGAATTACGGACAACGATCGAGATGAGGAAACCAGTTGGGAGGGGTTGAAGATACGAGTGTAGTAAGAGTGGTGGAGTGGTAGACATATCGGTGGACGTACGATTTTTTTGTCCCCTTCGATTGTTTCAATAGACGAGCTCCCGCTTATGTTGCCCGAGGTTCACCATGTAATACAACTGTCACAACTGCCCAAAGAATATTTAAATTTATTAATTCGTGAAAACCATTTACCTATATAATGAAATAATATTTTCTAAAGTTATTATATTACTTTATAATACGGCCTACGTTGGGCATTTTTAATTATTCCAAAAATATAAATAACCACACAATCACTTCCGCGATTTCCGATAGTCCCAATAGTGATGGGTAAATTGAGTAACAATTATAGAAATCATATTTAAGTTTTTTTACACATAATTTTATACATGAAATAAAAAATTAGAATTTTTTTTATATAGATATATCAAATAAAAAAATGTTGTTTGGTCCAGCCCTGCACACGTACACAGACGTACGAGGGTGACATCATGTTTAAATCTCGATATTGTATGCGAACATCACCGCCGCGGCGGTTCGTGTACTCGTCACATAATTATATAAATGTGTGTAGCAGCGGCATAGTATATTACAACACGAGAGCACACGAGAGCGAATATTATTTGCAGGGCCAGCCCAAGCAAAAATAGTGCACTAGGCAAAATCAAATTTTGCCACCTCTAAAAAAAAAAAAATTGAGCTCTTATTTTAACTTAGCCCCTTCCCCTACTTTTTATGTGACATATCTACTTAAAAAAAAATTAATTTTTTATTTTATGGATAAAATTGTATGTAAAAAGACTTAAAAATGATTTCTATTGCTATTACTCAAAACCCAATCACTACCGCGACTATCGGATATGTGGTTATTTATATTTTATGAACAATTAAAAACGCCCAGCGTAGGCCGTAATATAAAGTAATATAACAACTTTAGACAATATTATTTTATTATATAGGTAAGTGGTTTTCACGAATGAATTCATTTAAATATTTTTCTTATAAAACACCAACAGAACTAAATATATGTTCGAGTTAATTTTGAAAATACCACCCCTACTAAAGTGTCGCTCTAGACAGGTGCCTAGCTCGCCTATACCTCGAGTTGGCTCTGATCACTTGTGTACTTTTGAAAATTGTACATCACGCGTGCACAAACGTAATTCTTTTTTAGATTCATTCGATATCGAAATAAAAAACGAACATTTTCTGACGGGTTTTCTATTATAATGTATTCATTATAATTAGGGCTTGGATTTAAATGCTCTAAAAAAATAAATAAATGCTGTATCAAAAATTACATTTATGACCTAAACAGTCTAAAAAAATGCCCTTTCAAAAAATCTATTTAAACACTAATTTACATTAAATCATTTTAATAATTAAAAAAAAAATTTAATTTGAAAAATCATATCTACAAAATGTATAGACTATGTTAATGCTAATTAATTAATTAATGTTTATATTTCAATGAAGTCAATTTTTTTAGTCATAATTCCAGAGATAGGCCAGAAATGTCTTAAAAAATAAAAAAATGCCCAAAAAAGTATGAAATCCGCTAAAAATGCAAAAAATGTCCCCAGAGAAAATTTGTAGCTACACACGGAGTAGTCGAAACACGTTTGTAGCTTGGAAAGCATCGTGTAAGATATTTAAAAAAAAAAAAAAGATGCAAATGCATTGAAATCCGAACCCTAATTACAATATTTTACTGCGGGTGGTTATCGCTCTCGTTCGTCCCGTATATTTTACGGGTGGGCAGGAGGTGCCCACCTGAGATGATCGCGGCGGGAAACTACAACGAGAGCCAGAAGGAACGATTTACCCCCGGGGGTGGCGGACGGACGGTGGTGATTACCGAACACGGTTACGTAACGTAATCATATGTATAAACACGTGTCTTTTCACGTCATCCCCTTGAGGATTTCTCGGGTTATCAACAACAATAATAATAATGTTAATTATAACAGTAATGTCGATGGCGTTTACCGATGCAAGTGACTCGGCTCGTGTACCGATCGCGTCGCCCGTCCGCGGCGTACGCCGCTAGTGTCCAATCGGCCGTGCCTGGCGTCACGTTATCGGCCCTGAGACCGCACTGCCCGGACGGGTAACCTTCGCCCGCGTAACACGCACGGCCGTCGGACGGCGGAGGCGCGAAGTCGGACAGGGTCGTCTCCGTGCCGTTGGGCAGCACCACGGCGCAACGGTCCAGCGGGCCCAGGTTGGTCTGCCATCTCAGGTACAGCGTGTCGCCCTCGGTCAGCCACACGGGACGGCCGCACAGTACTGCGCACGCGCCCGACGACGGTCGCGTGTGAACAACAACAACAACAACAACAGTATAGTATAATACAGCGATTCGGGTCCGCCACAACGCCTAACGTACATTGTTAATGTTTGTACGACGATCGTGCGCCATTATTCCGCGTGGTCAAACGGGTGCCACCGATCCGGTACAAAAGATGTAATGACAAAAACGAAAGAATTCCATTAATCATGTAAACTAACGGTGGAAACCCATAAAAATATATTATCCTACCCAAAACCTCGATGGTTGGCAAACGTTGGACCTTCGTCACGTGTTCTTTTATTGCGTGCACATACGGTGTGAGAAATCGTTTTCGAACGGACGTAATTTCAATTACTTTTTCCCGGATCACGAAACGTATTGGTGAGATTATAAAGACCGGATGAATAATAATGAGTATTCTTGGTGGATCTTATACGCGGACTTGTCCCTGCTAAAAGACTTTTTTAAGACACATAATATGGTTTTATTTTGTAACTCGATACGACAGTTGCATGGGCGCGAACGAATATATACTGGTAGCGACACGGACCCCTCGACACGATGACCCCGAGGGGCTGAGGACCACATGGTTTAAAAATCATATTCCGTCTACAATCAACTTTATACAATGTCACCACTTGAAAATAAACATATACAGCTGTTGAAGAGTAGTCGGTGTACGGTAAGGAAAATGCATATAATTTATTGTTGAGCATAATTTTATACATATGTAACAGCACAGCTTGATGTAAAACGATTTGGTATGTTTGATTAAAACATGCATATAGGTTCAAAATTAAACAATTATTGTCAGGTGAAATCTGTGCGTATGGTAGTTTATCGTTTGGGGCGATTGTAAATTCGGCCCGGGGGTTTTGCAGGTAAAATAATTTAGGTGTAAACTCGGCCCGGATAAAAATGTACATATAATTTTTTTATAATATTTTTGAAAACCATTTAGCATTACCCATTCCTTTTAACATACCGAATATCACTTGTAGATCTTGCGCGTCAGGTACATTGTTTGCAGCATTATAAAAAATTTTGTTTGGCCTACTGCAGATATCCTCAGTTTCTATGCGTTTGGTCACGGTGGTAATACATTGTCGTTATAGTACTTGGTCCCCGATCGGTTTATGCAGATGATCATCATTTTTCTCCGTAGTATCATTATTTATTTCAAACGTTTTTAAAAAAGCTGTACATTTGCGGTTTATACATCGCCATTTTATTTCCCCTGTGAATATTATCGGGCCGAGATTTACAACCGACCTTTTTTACTATCTGAAATTTCTGGGCCGAGTTTACGATCTACCTTTTTATTACCTAAAATTTTCGGGGCCGAATTTACAACAAAAAAGGTAATCGCGGAACCAGTTTACATTTGCCCATCGTTTGCACAGAATACAATTCGAAACGCAATTTTAAACTTGAAGCAAAAGTGAGTTAAGTAAAAAAAAAAAACCAACGTCATTTAGCTAATTATTTCCCATTACAGAGTCTAATCTCTGACAACAGGAAGAATATAAATAACTACCTTGTCGTCATATTTATTAAAAAATACTTGTGGAAAATGTTTAAATGTACAGAGATGTATATTTTATTCTACTTCTATGATATCTTATATAAGAATTTAAAAAACCCGCATTTAGTATTAAAAACGTCATAATATGTAAAAATCAATCATGCTTTCTTTACTTGTATATATGTTATCATGGTCTGGGGTCAATGTGCTACAACTCATATAAATAATACAATTCAAAATCCTACGTAAGATCTCAAATGCTCCATGGTTTGTTAGAAATGATGTACAGCAGCGGTCCTTAAACTTTTTTTTTTCGCGTACCACATGAGTATATTATTAATTAGTCACGTACCGTTAATTATTAAAAATAGAACCATACAAACTTCACATAGTTAAATATATTTATTTTAAATAAAAGGGCAGTAAAATACTAAAATAAAATAATTATTTATTTATTATTACAAATTTATTAGTGTTTTTAAATTAATATACGAGTTAAATATTGAATTTTTAATTTCCGTTCTACCACCATGCGGCCTTTCGCGTATCGATAGTGGTACGCGTACCACAGTTTGAGAAACGCTGATGTACAGCATTCGGACTTCAACAGTAAAAAACTATATCGAGGATTTATCGGTTAGCTTCTTCAGCATCTACACAAAGCGAGCGGTCCACGACATTTCGGGCGGTCGTCCCCACGACGTTTTAAACTAGCTAACTGCACTCATAACCGTGGTATAATTTATCTCATAAATATTGTGCAATATTTAATTGTGTAACGTAAACATTTGCCATTGTACTCTGCATATTCAATATTGTCAATTCAAACCTAGTAACTTTACCACCAGTCGACCAATGATATTCAACGATTATTGATGAATTAAAAACTGCACGCACAAGATGATTTAGTGCCTGGAAAACTTAAAGAAAAAATAAAAAACAAAAATAACGTATTTCCGGTACGTCGCCGCGATAACGTTTGGGGGAGACGGGTAGATCGATATTATGCCGTGCCGACCGCTGCAGAAGTCGCGTCGAGAAAGAGAGATTGTGTACACGTAATCGAGCGATACGAACCGTTAAGGATTCCGCAACTGTAATCCGACCGCACACGTGCGCAGAGGTAGAACTAGGAATTTTTACACCCGGGGATGCTTCTATTTGATTTGATTTTTAACCGACCTTTTCTTCTCTAGAATTGTTCTCTAATGATTAACGTACAATCATACTCGTTGAGTTTCAACAAAGTTAAAGATATCGAATTGGTTGTTGATAAAAACAAAATTTACACCATCCAAAATGTTACGCCCGGGGACGAATCCCCGTCTTCCACCCCCTGCACACACACACGTATTAGTATCCCGGATCGGAGGCACTCGCACTTGTGGCTGCCGCGGCGGACGCGGACGGTGAGAGAACGTTGCACCTACCTCGGACCACGGTGGTCGGGGACAACTGCAGCAGCAGCAGCAGCCGTAATCCGACGTGCGTTAAGTCGGCGGTGCGAACCATTTTCCGTCGGACGGGCGAGCGCTGCGGTGTGAACTGCACGACGACGTCCGTCGCGACCCGGGGCCGCCCGTCAACCGCGTTCGTATTTGCTTTGTTCGCGTCGCGCGACACGTCCGGAGGGAGAACGCGAATCTTATAATTAGAAATCGGAGGCGGAAACGTACAAATAATGTATATGTATATTTATATACACGCGCGTTACATATGCCGTTTGTGACGGCGCTGGCCCGCGGTGGGGTTGAACGGATATTTAGGTCGCCAAAAATGTTCGAACACAAAACTTTTTAAACCCGATATCGTAATACACGCTTGATATTGTATTTATCATATCGAAAATAATATCGCGTCATTCATTACGACGGTTCTTTATTTTTCGTCGATTTCCGATTCTGTTTCAAAAACCATCGCTGTCTTTTTCACTGACATTTTTTTTTTTCGATGGGATTTAACATCTCTTCGTTTAACGTCGGTATTCTTAAACGTTTCGTAATGACGACAGGTACGAATCAGACGTCACGAACATTAGTACACGAATAAAATCTTCGTTCGTGTTTAATCTCGCGAAAAAAGACGAGCGTCGACCACTGACGTTTCGTCGTACCGTCAACTATAAACTCGTATGGGTTATTAAATAAATGAAAACGCAAAACCATCGTGTATTATTATATAGGAACAACAAAACATGTATTTCGTTTTTTTTTTTTTTTTCAACACACGCTTACACATATTATAATATATATATATACGTACGATAATTCTGTTTACGAGTATAGGGTACCTATGCGTATAATAATTAAAAGTGTGTATAATAATTATGTTAATAATAGTTTAATAACTAATAATAGTACGCTGTAATTTGTGTAACATGAAAGATTCCAGGTTTGGAGGCAGGGATGGTAGGTTCACAATTGATTAATTAGTGGAACGCCAGTGGCTGTGGTCAGTTATTTCGTAAAAAGGGAGCAATTTCATACAACGCGGACGTTTTCGCGTTACATCCCAAGTACATGCTAACAATAATTAAAACACATATTAACATTTTAACGTCTAGTGACACTTATAAACAAAGAAATAATACATAATAATAATAATAATAATAATACGTTGGTAAATATTATTGTAGCACTAAAAAAATAATATTTTTACACATAAAAAGAAATTTGTAGGTAACTATGACAATAAAACACTATAAAAATATTGACGAGAAGATTAATATACTAATAAAAAATCTGCCACCCGCAGATGGCCTGTTATTCCATTCAATTTCATACATATTTATACTCATACAAGAAATTACTTTTACAGCACAGAAATCGTAATAACTAGATTTATTTACATGTATTAGATAAAACATAAATATTTTCATAAACACGTAAAATGTACGACTGGAATGTTTATTGTGTGTGAGTTAAAATAATATCATGTTTTGAGCTTTTGTCTGGTCACTGTCCGTTTGCATCACGAATCGCTCATGATATTGTAAATACTTTTATATGTTAACATCAAATAAATGCAACAAAAAAAAAAAAAAAACCGTTTGAATCGATTACATTAAAAATAGAAGTAAAAGAAGAACATTTATTAAGACCAATTCGAATCAAACACCCGAAAATGTTTTTTTCATTTACATAGTTTGAAAGTTTGGAATTTAAAAAAGCAACCTTTCTAAGGGTTGAAAATCCATTATAAAATAGTTTGTCTCCGTTCTGTTTCTCTGTTCAGAAAATTATTAGAACGGATGGAATGGGTTGGAGTAAAAGAGTATGGATTAAGAGGAAAATTTAAAAATATTCTAACAATATTCTATTTACACAATATATAGATAATACATCAATAAGGGTTCAAACGCGAGGTGAAGGAATTTAAAAGTTGTTCATTAGCACTGCTAAAACGTGTGCCCGAATTTAAAATTTAACATCATTGATTAACATATGGTTGTAAATGTAAATTAATATTACAAGAGCTTATAAAAATGCTCATCACATCTAAATGCTATTAAATGACACATTTTTAATGTATTTATCAATTGTTTTAAATTATTGTTTTTTCCAAACTAAAAAAACATTATTAATAGTAAATAAAAAAAATACATTATATTCCGTATTTAAAGCCAAATATAGTGAGCATTTTCATCGCCACAGTAGAATCAAGTAACTGATGATCGTTTTTATTACTTTCAATGCCTACGTTCATTTAAAAAAATCAAAATACCAATCGATGTTAGCGGAATATTATGATTCTACCACAAAAAAATAAAAATAAATATTTAAACCGAATCATATAATTATCACAGCAAAAATATATAAGTGGGCGTGCGTAATATTTTTAAAACTTATAACGATATCAGACCTAATAACACGTGGAATGTTTTATTACCTACAACGAGAAATGTTCGTATAAGTTACAAACGTTATATATGTATAAAAATTTCTATTTGATTGTCAACAAGTTTACATTTTTTTACACCCAATATTATTTGTAACCACAAGCTACTTTAAAATAGCCAATCGTGTACGATTTGTTTATCGTAAATTACCACTTTATTCAAGAATGTATACGTTACATATTCATACGTACCTAAAAAGAATAATGGTTGTCGGAAATAAGGTAATTTTTTTCTTTACTGCAGCTTCAACCACGAATCAGTTAAACGAATCTTATAAAAAATCTTAGCGCCACTACCGTTTCTAATTCTTGATATAGATTACAACGAGAATAATTATTCTGGGGATTATTTTTACTAAATTAAATTGGTCTGTACATTTTATAATGGATTGATAAGAGCCGTTTAACGATTGAAATGCTGAATGCGCGGAAAAACGATTGAAAACGCACCCGAAAGAGTTGTAATAAAAACTATCATAACAATAAATGATAGATGAGTGTTTCATAATGATTTGATATCTATTTATATATTTATTTTTTATTGGCTATCGAATTTTTTGTAATCATTAAAGGGAAAACGAATAGAGTGGTGATTTCAATTGAAAATATTACACTTACATAATTACAGGTATAATACGTCGCTGTTTTATATACAAATCGTAACAACTCACAGTGTTTAGTGACGATTTACTAGTTTTAATCGGACTTTTAAAATGAGCAGATCTAAATTAAGGAAACGAATTCTTGCGCAGTAAGATGTTTTCGTCAAAATTAAATATATATATAAAACATAAATCCGGTCGCTTTTTTCACCCCACGAGTGACTATTAAAACATCCTCTTAACCTACATATACTGACTAAATTTTGCTCTGCGTTGAACAGTCCAATAACAAATATCTTTTGAAACAGTGATGCGTCCGATGATACCAAATGACTTATCTTAAACGTGGAACATAATAATACAGTAAAAGTACTAACACACGAAAATGTACATAATCACATAAACACATAACACACTTAGACACTAATACACTTATAATAATACGTCGGTGAAGGGATAGTAAAAAAAATAAAAATAAAAATAAAAAAAAACGATATAAGAGATTGGGGTCGAGAAATATAAAGAGATAGAGATAGAGAGGAGAGTAAATGGAATACAATTATCTGTTCACGTCGAGATCAAAAGCAACAGTGCGACGACTGTAACCGTGATGACCGCGGTCGCGGTAGAGCCGATGATTGTGGACGTGCCGCCACACGCCAGCTGCTCGCGATGGTACGGCACGGTGAGCGGTACCTCTGACGGTGGCTTACACTTTTCGTCGGTGCCGTCGCCACCGCACAGCTCCTCGCACGCCGGGCACACGATGACGCCCTTGTGCAGCCAACCGTTGGCCACCAGTCGGATGACCAGTTCCTGGCCCGGGAAGTAGCACGTGTACGTATGGTTGGACACCTGTGAACACGGAAGACAAAAAAAACCGCGCAAGCATGCGTTATTAGACAACGACAACAACAATAATAATAATAATAGTAATAATAAAAACATGACATTTAAATGGCTAACACCTTATAACAAGCTTAGAGAAGTAAAAAAAAAAAAAAAAAAACACCGCCATTAACTGGCCTAAGCTCCTAATGTTTAATCGCAGAGATGAAGCAATTATTAATAGATTTTGAATAGGCCACTATAAAATGGTTATTATATAAGAAGAGATGAATAGTAAACTGAGCCAAACATGTGCTAAGCTCTTATATAGAATCAAAAAGAAATCGTGAAATTTCGGATAACTCCTATGAAGCCCTTGACCTTAACGAAGACAATCTCAAAACAATGATTTTTTTCCTTAGATGTATTGATATGTTTAATTATATTTAATAACTATATAACACAAACATGAACCATAATGAATACTATAAGCTTGTTGAACAAACAACCTTGTTGAAGCTGTATCGTGAGTAAAAAAAAAAAAAAATTAACAATAAAAATAATAATAATAATAAAATAACAACGGTACGATACGGTACCGAACACTATTATGAAATCATAAGTTTTATTTTGTTCGATTGGATTTCACGGAACGTGGACGATAGTATGCACATGTGTCTTCGGGGTCGCATAATGCTCGTGATACGCGATAAATATATGTACATAATATACGCGGGTGACGTATAGAATTAGTTATACGTTTTAGCGCGGATAAATATCTCTTGATAATTACGTCGATTACGATCAAGGACGTGAATTTAAACATTTCGCACATCCATCGATTCCAGTCAAGTATATGATATATATTATTATATGTTTGATCAGTTATAACAACAGTTCCCAATCGGGGGAGGGGGGATTTAAACACTGCACAAGAGGAATATAGTGATGATGAAATAACGAGAAATTTGTTGTTACTAAATATTTTCCAATCAGTAAAATTGAAAATAATAAACTAATATTAATTTAAAAAATTAAATCATCAGTTGTATATTATATAATTATTTTGAATCGTTAAAAAAAAAAAAGATCTTTTAAAATCCAAGTCTACACTAAACTCTAATACGTATAAGGAGAGAGCGTGAGATTTTTGAACATTTACAAGGGGTCGTAGAAAAAAAAAGATTGGGAACCACTGGGTTATAAGATGTTTGACATTTTTATTCGCATATATTTCAATTATTCGTAGCTTATTGGTCATATGTTAAGACACAAATGGAATAATTAATATGGTAACATTTATTTTTTTTTTTTCTATACCTATGGGGCATAATAAGTTAATGAGATATAAGGCTAATGTTTACATAGGTAAATAAATAATAATATAATTTTAATATGACAATCTTTTATCAAATCTTGGAAAATTAATATTTCTGACTAATTTTTCGCAATTTTCGCTCAGTGTACATGGAAATGTCACGATTTTTATTTTTATCTCATTGGTTACTATTGAATATTGATGAACGTATGGTGTGTTTTAAAGGAACATCTTAATATTTTAGTTTGGCGTCGAGTAATATGGAATTAAATATTTCGGGTCTAATTAACGGAAAATATCAAGAATACATATTATCATGAATTTACAAGAAAACAAATTCAAATATTCAGATATCTTTATTTAAAAATTTAAGTAGGTACTACTTTAATGTAAAAAAATATTTCATTGTTCGTTCAATACTTTGTCGTCGAATATTAAATTAAATTTAACGGTTAATGCATGCTATATTTATAAGGATTAACGGTTGTATTGATGGTGACGTTTAGACGGTACATTTTTACAATTAGCCATGGTTAGGTTAAATGTGTGTATGTGTTGGTTTTTCACATTCTCTGAAATAGGTACTGGAAGTACCTCCATGGTTAGTTTAACTTCTTATATAAAAAAAAAATCAGTGTCAATAAACGACATGATATACGAATAATGTGTTACTTGTCAGAATTAGAACGTTTTTCAGTTATAGATTATAGAGTGGAAACCTAATTTTCAATATTTAATAAGTATAAAATAATTAAATCGGGATTATAAATTATAGCAATAACTTGATTATAAAATTATATATTATCTTCAAGATGTACATCATGTATATTAATTAAAAGTACTAACCATTTAATAGTTTTTAATTTGTATTTAATTTTTGATTATTTTATTATCATACTTAAGTAAAATAATATCATCTTATGTAATCTTTACATTTCATCCTTTTTTTTCTTTAATTTTTCTCCAAGGTTATCTCATTTATAGTTAACAATCTCTGTAATTATGGCTTTAATAGTTAAAAAAAAAAATTAAAAAAAAAATATTTATTATACTGTCAATACTTCAGCATTATTAGATTTTTATATTTAAGCTGCGTCTCCGATAATTGAAATTAAAAAAAATATTTTAGCAGTTGGTGAAATCAGTTGTCTAAGTGCACGTGGTGCTAGATCATGCGAATACATATTTCGAGCCATATAAATTAAAATGAAAAAAAAAAAAAATAATAAATAAATAAATGAACTAATAAAACTTAAACGTTGTACCTTTATAGAATCATATGATTGGCAGTTGGCACGTATACTTTAATTGAGCCATTCAATAACTTAAAACAAGTAATTATATATATATATATATATATATAATACTAATATACAATATAAAAAAAGCAAAATTTTAAATGTACTTCAAGTTACACATGATGTGAGAATATGTTGGACAAATATAAATTCCTACGAATTGCAATAAATTATCAAAAAGGTTTGAATACATACACTTGTACTTTTTTGAATTCCAATAAATATAACATCAATGTGCATAATATTACTATACTTAAAGGTATACAAATTCGTTGTTCAAACACTTCGTGTTTCGAAAATGTTCATACGACTTATTGTGAGGAAAATCTACACCATCTTGTTATCTACTTGGTGTAGATTTTCTTAATAATAATTCAAAGAATATTTTCGATACGCGAAGCGTTTGAACAACGAATTTTTATATACACGTAGATAACAAGAAAATCGGGGGGTATCCCGAGTGCGTCCCGTTTTTAATTTTTACTTTTTTTAGAGCCCGAGTGTGTCCACAGCCTTATCGACAAATTATATTAAATAACCTGAGTGTGTCCGCAGTCTAATCGACAAATTATATTGAATCGCCCGAGTGCGTCCTCAATTCACATAAAGGTACTCATTTAAGATAAAATAATCAAATAAACCTTACAGCTATGATTGTGAAGTACTAACACGATGGAAAAATCGCATTTAATTTTAACTTTAATAATAATTTAGCACGACTAAAACTTATTCATTTACGGTCAATAAGTGCTAGTGAACTTATATGCAAAGTAATATTTAATAATATATTCAGAATTTGAAAAATGTCATTGCCGTATAAATAAAACAATTTAAAAATAATAAAATATCAAGATTAGATTTTGTCAAAAGAATGGAATTTAAACACCAGCCTATAATATAGATAAACTAAATAAAAATACAATTTTTCTTAAATAAATAAAAAAACCATTTAAAATAATTAGTATGCTCACCCAAATTCAAGGGTGTAAGATAAAATATAATATATTATTATGAATAAAAATCATAAAATATTTTTGGGGTGTAAGCCTGTTCATCTTCTCGTGGTGCACCCTGGGTAATTCTAAATGAACTGGGACGCACTCGGTACATTAAAAAAAAGTAATATCGGGACGCACTCGAGAAACTCCCGAAAATCGTGAATTTTTTTTAAAAAAAAAAATTATTAATTTATTAATTTTTTATAATGATATACCGAACAGTGTTGGATTTTACATAATAATCATTAAAATTTATTAAGAACTTATTAAACCATAGTTACTAATTTCGATTTTGATGTTCTATTTTTATTTTAAAATATAATTGGTATATTTAACAAACTAACTAACTCAAATATCTTCATTATAAATTATTCAATACTGAATAATTCTATAATCAGTTTATAATTTTAATAATAAAATATAATTAAAATAAAAGATCATTTACAGTTAATAAAAATAAGTTAATTGTAAAATTGTAAAATACTGAATAAATAGCTTTATATTGTACACAACTATATGACACGATAATTAATAAGTATTTAATTTATAAAATATACTTATAGTTAAAACATTTATATTATTTTATTTTTGTACTTTAACAAAATATTGTTAAATTAAAATTATTCTTAATTAAAACTATTAACAAAATAATCAATAAATAAATAATTTGTCGATGATATGCAAACGGTTTCTCCAAGAAAATATAATAAAGGTATTTTTTAAATAATTAGCTCATAAATAATGAAATACACAATATAATTTACCAATGATTTAAAGTTTTCAAGCCTCAATTTCAATTAGCAAAACTTTCGTAGAGGCTATAATTTCTTTAAAAACTTTGAATAAACTATTAAATTAAGCAATTTATCTTAAACGGCCAAGTAAATAAAAAAAAAAAAGTGTCTAGCATATAAAATATCCTTTTTAAATAATAATTCATTTTAGCATAAATCCAAATTCGATAGATTTTGAGAAGACCTACTTTTAAAGGATTATCATCTTTATGATTTATCTTTTAAGATTGCATAATCTTAAATGTTTTATCATAAAGAGAATACAACGTTATTTATAGCTAGTTTAAAACTTTAAAGTATTGTAATACAGTTTAGAATTGTTAAAAAATATCGAGTAATCGGAATAAAATATTTAATGAAGTATACTCTACCCGCAGAAATATTGATTCAACGATAATATTAGAGCTCGAAGAGAAGTTATTCGTATAAAAATAACGATTATCTGTTGAATATAATTAGTTACAGCTAAAACTGATAGTTCACTAATAGTAAGTAATTTTTTTATAAAAAATGATTCGGAGTATTAAAAATATAATGATTCATGCTAGTAAAAATAAATTTAATAAATTTAATTTAAATTTTGAATTAAAAAACACTTTAAAAGCACTGAAATTAATGTTTTACATTTTTATGTACCTACAATAAAACAGAATATAAACGGTCAGTGGGTACTCACAATGATATGAAGTCTTCCGTTTTGACAACTATATTCATAACATCCAGAACCCCAGTGTTGCCATTGTCTGACTTGCTTACACGTTTGTTCTTCCCACATTTGATTAGTGTGATCAAAACATTTAGAATTGTCTCCATATACTTCCAAAGCAAAGTTTTTATCTGGATCTATAAAATAAAGTATAATATAACATATAACTATAATATATAACTATAAATACAATATATATAAATAACTATTAAATTCCACAAATCTAGACAGTTTATTATTTATAACTAACAAACACCAGAAAGTTCAATCCTAGTATTTTATTCAATTTTAATCAGTGTTCTGATTCAATATATTTAAAGCAAGTTCGATAAATTTAATTTGATTATACAAATGAAAATACATTCTACTATGTATTTTTAAATTACTTTTTTATTTATGAACAATAATTACGTTAGGAATTTTACTTCATGTTTAGTAATCGTAGTATGAACATTTTGTATTTATACATTAAATAAGTAATTAAATATGAAACTTGGAAAAATAAAATAACTGTAACTGACATACTTCATTAAATTATTTTCTTTGTTTCATTGATCTGAGTAGTACCTACCTTAACGTACTTTCTCAAAAATAATACATGGATAAAAGTAATATAATTTTATACTTACGAGGATTATTTTCTGGGTACTGACAATGTGATCCTCTTATTACCACACTTTTTGATCGCCATATAAATTCTTGTATATATGGACAATAATCCGCAAGACTTACAGATCCTCCATAATACGCTTCACGACCTGGTGTTACGTGTGGGATGTAGTCAAAGTTCTAAAGGAACATAATACAAATAACAATAAATGAAAATAAATAGTTGCATAATAATGGTAAAAAAACACATTTACATAATAATATTTATATTTTAATTATTACAAAATAAAATATTTATTTAAATTTTTGAATATAAATAGATCACATCTTAGGAATAGATGTATAACCTATTTAAAATTACAAAATGTTACGACTTTAGGCCATCATTCGTACCTAATTTATAGTAAGTATTTAATAAAATCATTTGTATTTTTATTATTACTTTCTGTTGTTCTAAAACATGGCATAGACTGTTAATAAATTACGTAGATATATTAAGAAAAAAAGATAGGAAACCAGCATTAATGATGTAATTAATAATTAAGAAAATTACAGATATAGAACGAGAAATTTAAGAGAAAGGTAAAATAAAGGGATGAATAACCAAGAGGTAAGTAAATGAGAGCATAAAAATAAAATAATCTCTATATGCTATACAAGAGAAACAATATTTCTAACGATTGGAGTAAAATAACCGTTTTTTAATAAATTATATGTCTTGTCTGTTTATTAATGTACTCTTATCTTAAATTGTATCTTGGACACCAGCCTGTAATGTAATATAAATAATAAATAAATAATAATATATTGATTTTACATTATTGTATTTTTTGTACCACACTCGTAATATGTTTAGGAACAACATTTAAAGCTAACATACGTGCATCAAAGTATCAATTTTGAAATTACCAAGCAAATCACGAAAACTGTTATAAACTATGAAATTTGTGAAATATATGACATAGCCATATTATTTTTATTACTTATATAAAGTAAATTATTGGTAGTTATTATATAGTTTAAAAAATGTTTATAAATATATTAATTTGTATTTATTAATTTTTTTTCTTTTTTATACTTTAAATTTATTTAGAATACAACGATAAACTAAAACATTTTTCAATTGTATTTCAAGTATAATTATTTATTGTTTAAAATCGAAAAGAAAAAATGTCACTAGTAATTTTTAAGTATTATTCTATGTAAATGTAAAATAAAATCGATAAAATACGTTTAATTCATATAATTTAGCTGTGGAGACAATTGTATAATTAATGAATATATGCAATACGCGTTAATGTGTCAAAATATATATATATATTATATATCCTACACTTTTTATCGATGGAAAATCTACGTGAATATTAATTATTTTGTTTTAGTATAATTGTATAGTAGGGAGAGCCGCAAATGAAAAACGTAATGTAAAATTAATAATTTTCATTTAAATTGCAAAATTAACTATTAATGAAAAAAAATGTATAAGACAGCTATAGTATCACAAATTTAAGAATTCAATTGGTTTCATATTAGTTGTTAACGTCAGTTTTTAAAATAAGAAAAGCAAATACATAGTAAAGTATAATTTCTATAACAATAAATTGTATAAAGTAAATAATTTTAACTCTTCATGTCACATCATTGGAATTGTTAACATAAAACATTTTTGCAGCTTCATTAGTGTCTGACTATCGCAATGACGAACGAATGCCAGTTCCCTTAATACGATATATACGTATAGGTACTGTTGTAGAAAACGTTACTTAATATTTTAACTAATTTATTACGATAGCCATGATAAAAAACCGTGCATGATTTCAATGATTTCAAAATTTACATTAATTATAAGCCTATAACTTTGAAACCTATTTTTAGATTTACGATTGCGATACTTTGAAAAAAAAAATCTAAATTCAAAAGTATTTTTTTTAAACCGTCAAAGGAATGAAAATAAGAATTTAATATAACATTTTCACGAATACACCTATTATAAAATAGCATTCAAATAAAAATTATTATTTTCATAAATATTTCAATTGGGAAAACATACCGGGCTACCCTGTATAATAATACTATAAATATATTTTTGAGGAAATTTTATTGTTAAGATTAATACTATAAAGAAATTTCTTACTAAGCATTTTAAAATATCTATTTCAGATACTAAATATATTTTAAGATAAATAGATGTATGAAGTACATATAGATTTTTATTTTTATTGTTTAATTTTGCGAAAAATTTACTTAATAATGATTTGCTTTATTTACTTTATAATACAGATTTTAATTACGTTAAAATATAATCAACAATATTGGTAAAGTTATATTATTGTATAATTTAAAAAGTTTTGAATTTATTTTATTTTTAAGAATTATTTATAGTAATTATAGTAATTATATAGAAATTTAACAAAATATAAACACATAAAACTGTATTACTCAGCTTCTATGATTCATCTAATTGAATGCAGTTTATTGTAGAACATAATTTTGTTTAAGTTATTCAATAATTAAAATGAAATTTTAAGATTAAAATTTCGTAAAATTTGACAATGAAAAAATAAATAAAAATAACTATAAGTATTTTACTAACCTGGTAAATGGTCGGTAAGGGCTGCACGTGTTCGACTAGATTGCATAGAGCCACAGAGCTCCGATCATCGGTACACTCAGTTTCCAGGGGGTCTCTTTTCACTTTATTGCAAAACGGATGGATCGATTGGCCCTTGGCACGTTTCATATCCATCCATTGTTTACAGCTTTTTGTTACAAAATCACAGCCTAAATTTTTTCCCCAGCTGAGATCTTGAGCTAATGAATAATTAGCTTTATACCATCCAGTATCTTCCATCAGTGCAAGTGTTAGTCTTGAGTATACTGGATTCTGTGTATGAGTACCCGTCATTGCTTCATTCTAAAAAAGTTTTTTTTATGAAAATAAGAAGACAATACACATTAATTTAAGCAAAACTGTGATCCAGATAATCATTTCATGGCTTAGGAACAAATTAAAGTATCTTTAACTAAATGACTTGGAAAGTACAAGAATCTCAGATCAAGATTTTTAATTATGTGAAAACGAAAATATATACGAGTATAGTACATTTTTAAGCGAATTGAAGATTTATCCTTGGGATAAAAAAAAATTAATTAGTATTAATTGTATCATATTTTTTTCTTAAAAATTATATATAATTAATTTTTAGAGTTCAACATTAATATTTGCATTATCTTAAGTTATAATATAATTTTTTTGTTAGAAAAAGTATGAGTCAATTATATTATATAATTTTTTGATGAAAATGTTAAACAATTCTCTTTTATAGATCTATACAACATACCAATATACCAACATGAATTTTGATCGATTCTCCCTAAAAATATGCATATGTTTATCTTTATTTTAAATATGCATATATTTAATTAATAAATTAATCTTTTTTAGTATGATATAGGTTTTTAATATTTGTTTGATTCGTTAATATAACGTTTTATTAATATGATTCGTCAATATTGATTGGTGTTGTATATTTTATTGTTTAAACATTTTAAAAATAAATTTTAAATATTTCCCGAATAACTGGCTACTGTATATACTTTATACCTACATTCCATTTTTAAACTCTAAAGTTACAGGATAACATTTTTAGTTCAGATTTAACCCGTGATCGTGAGTGTCTAAAGAAAAAAATAAAAATATCAAAATGAAATCAATTTGAGTTACACTCAAAATCAAAATTCTTCAGATAAGATCAATTATCAGGTACATCATACATTTAGACCTATATTGTTTTTTTTTATAATTTATTTATTGAAATTTTTTATCTTTGAAATTTTTAACTATCTACGGGCTTCATTATCTACATAACTGTTAAAAACTAATCCTTTGAATAATAAGTTAATCTTAAATGTTTTCCATCGGAACGTCACTTTATTAACTATGGTAAGTCACGGCACTCTTAGGAAAAACATTGTTTACTTAATGTATTTCTGATAAAAATATTTACGTTTTTGCAGCACACACTTTTGAAACACTGTTTCATCTAACAACTTCTATAAGAGTATTAGTCAAGGTAAATAAATTTTTTTTTCTTTTATAGTTTCAATAGTTTTATTCTCTCATTAGTTAATAGCTACACAAAACCTTTTTATTTTTATAAAACAAATTTTGTAATTTTACTATTATTTACATAATTAAAATAAGCATAAAACAAGATTTAAAGTAAAAATATGAGATGGAAACTTATAGTTAAGAATTGAAGCAATGTTTTCATGCTTTGAAAATAAGTTAAAAATAATTATATTAGTGTTTTGAAGAAATACTGCCAATAAAAACATGATAATGAGTTTGATGTTTATATAAGACAGATTTTAACTGAAAAACAAACATGTATGTTTTCCACTATATTATTTTTGCTTAGTTTTAAAAATTATTTACTAGTTAATAGAGTTATAGTACTCTAGAAAATTTCTAAATATTCAATCTTACAACTAAAACAGTATAGAATTTAATGAATATAAATATAAAATAAATATTATTACCATTTAAGCAATCTTTTACAATAATTATAAAATAATTTAAAAAAGTATATACATATGTATTCCAATTGATAAAACAATTATCATAGGATACTTTAAGGAAAACGAGCCCTTCAAACATGACATTATTAATATAAGCGTAAATGAAATAACAAATTTCGCTAACTGTTGTAATTAAATAATCAATTGTATTATACATAAATACAAATTAATTAATTTAATTAAATTAAGAAATTGATATCTTGTTTATTAACTTAATTGTTAATTAAATGCTAAAAGTGAATAAAGACTAAATCAAGATAAATACCTCAAAAATCCTTTTTTCCCAGTGGGTGAGTGCTGTGCCATCTTCTCCCTGATCTTCAAGTTCAGCTCCTTCTAAAGTCGAGCAGTTAAAATGTTTTCGAACTTCTTCCACAACCCTAGGAGTTACCATCATTTGTACTTCTTTGTCGACTACGGCGCCGTGAACAGTCCAATTACGCCTGATGACTGTTTTAATTACTTTGTCACTCCACTGCCTCGCTTGAAGTCTAATAATCAAAATTTCGTTTAAAAAAATAAAATATATTTTTTTTTTATTGAACGGTACAATTAGTACTTAACAAAAGGAATATAATATAAGTTGAAACCTAAACATTTTAACTGTATTCAATATTCAGTGATATTTCCAGACATGATCTTTAGTATTCAACTTATTTTCACATTTTTAAAACTTACATATATGGGAGCGCTTTGCTTATAATTTTATAACGGAAATTTTAGTAGTCATGTGTATTTGGTGTATACATTTATATATGTAGCATACTCAACTCCGCAAGAGAATGGTACCGTTCGCAATTTCCTACTAGTAGAGAGACCGGTTTTATGATAGAAGGAACTGTAGCATTCAGTGTATAGGTTATTGAATTGTTAATAGTGTGGCGGGGTTAGGTCAATATTGGTTACTACGCAGTATTGTGCACTCGTGACTACTTGTAAGATACTGCATGCATCACATTCTCCATATGCCAATAGACATTTTAATTTTTCTTTAATGTCATTACGTTTACTAAATATTATTTCATATCGACAGCTACGTGTCAAAACCTCGTAACTTAAAATTTTGTAAATTTCACTTTTTGTTAAAATTAGCATTGGTAGCCTAAGTTGTACATGCTGTAAAAACGATTATAGTACAATACATTGTGATACGGTTAAATTGTAATTTCTAAAAATTGTAATTAGAAGTTGAAAAAATACTCTTAAGTTAAGTTACGAGGTTAACAATTTGTAAAAATGGAGTTACGAGGTTTTGGCACGTAACTGTCGAAATGTTTGTACTAAATTTTAATTAGTTTTACAGTTTCATGAATACAAATTGTGAATTTAAAATAACTATAAAATAAAAATTGTTGCGAGGGTGAACATTTTGAAAAATATAGTATAAAATATAGAAATTTCAAATTACTACTTCTAATATTTTTATTTATTTTTATTTGTAAGAATTCTGTTTAGTATTTTTAAATTTTTTTGATAATTCAACTTCAAATAAATCAAATTATTTTCTGAAAATATTTATGAAAATATTAAATTGTTTATAAATTAAATTATCTAGATTTTAAGTTAACAAATAAAACTTAAAGTAATTAAGGCATAGATTTACATTAATATATTAAAAAAAAAAAATTATCTAATGCAGTTATTATAGTCGTAAGTATTTTACCAAGTATAATAAAGTGTTAAATTATCATATAAGTTTGGTTAATAATTTCTCTTTCAGAGAATCAAAAGTTAATAGTAATATGCATTTAACTATGTTTTAGATAAAATATAAATTAGTATTATAATTAATCATTTATTATTTTCAATTTATAATTTAAACTTATAGTTTTTTTCGAAAATATAATGATTTTTTTTATTTAATAAAAGAAAATAAAAAAAAAATTTAATAAGAGCATTGTAATAAATTGTAACGAAATGTCTTCAACATTAAATGAAACAATTTATAGATTGCACGTTAATTATGTACGAATAAATCGCAAATAATTGTTCATATAAATTATATTTAGTCATTGCTCATTTCACTTTTGAAACCTAGTGATTTACCTACCTATAAAACGACACACCACCTATTTGTGTCAAATAATCATGTAACGTGTTCGCGTATTATATTATATAAATATACGAGTATATAAACATATTCGCTGCACTATTTAGATATACAAATAAGTAGTGAAAAGAATGTATAATCTTTATACCATATTATTTTATAATTACCTACTTATCATTAGAACTTGGATATTTATAAAATTGTATATTTTTTCTACTGATTCAATTTAATACGAACCTACAAATTTGATTCACGCTTCACTGAATCAATTAATACTAATTTTATTTTGTAAATTTTTGGGAATTTAAGAATATGAATGCATATTTCAATAAATTTTCGATTTTTTTTTCAAATTAAATAAATTTAACGGGTAGATAAATGATAAATTATTGACCAGTATAATTGTATTGTCCCAATTATTTTTAGTTAGGTATATTTTTATTTCAGATTTGATCAAATTAAAAAATAAAAAAATAAACATTGTATTGCAGTGTAAAGCTTATATTGTAAATTATTATATAATATTAAAAAATATAAAACAAAAAAATAACTATTTATAAAAATTAGATACTTATAAATTAAAATTAATTTTTAATATCGAAGATAAAATAATTTTTACTCTGCATATTTTGGTGTTTTTTTTTTTTTTTTTATTGCATTAACACCCGAACGAGTCTACTGCGAGCTTACGGCCTTACTTATACCAACAAAGTTACATACATTTTACACTTATGAAATTGGTACCAACGTAAAATCACAGTTACTATGCAAGCATAAGCGTATTCGCGTGATGTGGGAGGCGGGGGCGGAGGGATGATTGATGTGACAACATTTTTCCATTTAAACGACAAATGTACCTTGCTAGCATCGAGTGAACACGAATGTATATACATGTATTATACGGTGAAACAGCGGCGTTACTTACTTCTCGTTCAGTCTGGGCTTGCCGTTGTCTTCCCTGGTGGTCAACGGATACCCGTTGGCGTCCCGGTAGAAAGCAAACAGGCTCACGGAGAAACCGAGCGCGTGCAGGATCTCGTGCTTGACCGTGGACAGGAGCACTTCGAGCTCTTGCGGCTTGGTGCTGATGCTTTCCGGGCATAGGTTGGCGTGGCCCGCGATCGGCCGGTCCAACGACGACTCCTGTTGGCAGTGGGCCGCGTACGCCACGGTCAGACCCTTGTGGCACCGTTCCGTCTCCATCGCGCTCACGTAGAACACGAAATCCGCGCCCTCGATGCCCACGCCCGATACGGACGTTCCCGTGCCGCAGTCCATACCCGACGCGTTGCACGTCTTGCAAGCCTGCGCGAGTAAACATGGGATGAAAAAAAGAAGAAAAAAACGAACGAATGCCGGTCAGAAACGTCGTACACAGGGCACGCGGCCATACATCCTGTTCCCCATGTACCGATGGGACACGCACGCGGCATGTGGTGACGTATTACGACTCAACGACACCGCCGTGCGCAAGTGTTACATTAATCTTGACATCTTGTTACATAACGTAAACTGTAGGCCCCGCGCTCCATCTGCCTACTAGCCAGCGATGGCGTGCGCACGCGATGAAACGTCGTGGGATACGCGCAAGTCGTTTAATACTTATGATCAAAACGCATAGCAGTTTGTATTTCATGTGTTTTCATTGTCGTGAAAAAAAAATCGTCTACTTTCTTTTCCCGGCCGAACGTTCAAATTCGCTTATTGTCATCGTACATTATTTATTCATAAAATAAAAACCAACTCGTTGAAAAAACACATTATGCGTCATAATATTGTGTTATGTGTACACGTGTTTGATTCGTTTTTGTATATAATTAATGTGTTCAAGCGTTTTGGAACTTAAAACATCGAAAAAAAAGAAAAACGGTACCAACGTAGATGTTTAGAATATGGATCTTCCTCGATTCATATAATATTATGATGCATAGATAATTTTATTTTTTATTTTTTATTTTTATTTTATTTTAAGGTTCAAAGGAAAATAATAATATTAAGATCATTGAACGCATTTATAAATGAATATTTAGATCACACAATGAACAAAATCACCTAACAAGAATATTGCATATTACATTTATTATTAGTATTTATTTCATTTTTATACAAGAATTACCTCTAAATGATCTTCGGGAACTTGTACTTCACCGCACATGGTTCGATCTTCACAAGCGTTCTTGCAATACGGATGGGGATCCCCTTTTCGATAAAAAACTTGGTTGTTGACGCATTTCCTATAAAATAAAATACATTAAATTTAAACATATATATATAGAGGTATATTTAAAATGCACAAAGAGAATTAAAACTTTGGATTATAAGGAGACAAGGAAGAAACTGAACAGGGAAATAAAGAAAATAAAAAAAAAAGAGCTGGGACAACCTATGCAATCAGGTAGAAACAGATTCGTGAAAGTTACCATATAAAATTGTGACCAAAAAACTAATGGGAAGAAAAACAATTCTCGGATTTACACTACCCGACATACTGGAATCCATAGTAGATGTTTTTGTTTCTTCGGTAAACGATATAAAATGACCGCCTAAAATTTTAGAACAATTTTTTCCAGATGTAACCATGGCAGAAGTAATATAAGTCAGTTGCAAAATACCATTGGGTCTAGACGGAATACCGGACATGGTTGTAAAAGAGATAACGGCGAGGAAGTCAAAGATTTTAAGCAGAATATTCAACCTGTGCTTTAAATATGGATCCTTCCCTAAGACGTGGAAGATGGCGAAATTAGTTCTTCTCCGGAAAGGAGACAAACCGTTGGAGCAGCCATCGTCATACCGATCCATACGTCTTCTTAACACAATAGGCAAGCTATTCGAGCGCATCATTAAGAAACGACTATAGTCATACTTAGTAAGCATTGGCGGTTTAAGCAAACGCCAGGATGGGTTCAGGAAGGACAGGTCTAAAATTGATGCTATTACAAAAATCTGCGAAATAGTAAAGTAAGCAGCCGAGGGACCGAAGCGTTAGAGGAGGCTCTGCGCGGTATTGGCACTAGACGTAGCTAATGCATTCAATTCGGCAAGGTGGGACAAAATCGAAAGAGCTATATGCCGCTTAAGTTTAGGCGGGCGCGTTAGTTCATAAGACCAATATAAATATAACCAATATAAATAAAAAATAAATAAATAATATAAAAATATAATAATAAGGCTACAAAGAACCATCGGCATATAGGACGGTCTCCACGGTGGCGGTAATGGTAGTTGTGGGGCTTATTCCGGTACACATACTGGTCAGTAAGGCACACGGAAAAACTGCTAATATTTCATTCAATACAAAAAAATCGATAAGCAAATTAAAATTTTAATGAATTTGTGTATTATTATTATAGAATTTCTTTAGAAACTATATTTATTATATCTTTTTTGTTGTTCGGTATTATTTGTATTTTTCATTTTTCAAAATATGTAACACTGGACATGGTACATAAAGTTGACTAGTATGATAGGTTGGGGTAAATACAACCAAACTTTGCCCAATGATTGACCCTATGCTTTGTTGATTAGCATAGCAAAATCTATTCCTATCAGAAATTGATGCCTAGTAAATTAAAGGGAAATAGTAGAATTTGATTGGGTTAAATCTATTCTAGGCAGTAAAATACGCTAGCCAGTTCCTTGACCAGTTATTGTTTAAATTGCAATACTGCTCAAATAAAACAAATACTGGGAAAGTTATTGTTTAGTAATTTAATATATTATAGACTTTTAGAGTATTTCTTATTTAAACACTCTGCATGTTATGTTTTCAGAAATGAAAGTTCATGAATCAGGTAGTCGAGTGATGACATTTTGCTGCTGTGAGCTGTAAATCTACTGAAATTCAAGGACTATATGATTGTACAATGTATAATATACAGTGCATATACAAAAAAAAAAAAAATAACAAACGTATATATAACACATATTTATAGCACTACATTTGAAATTTGTCTAAATTCATAGAAAAAATCATATCCTACTAATACAAAATTAAAATCCTAATTTTTAATGTCTGTGCGAATGTTGAGTCAAAAATTGCCTTATACTACCAAGGTAATAATTACCTTGGTCATTATTAATCAAATTCAAATAGTATACACTCCAGTTTGACTTGTTGCGCTGTCTCATTAATTATTTTACACAAATGCGATAGTAAAATATGAAAAACTGGTATGACATTTTAGTCGGAGGGAAAATGTAACGAAATAGCTAATTTAAAAAAAGAACGTCAGATATGAAAATTAAATAAGCCATTAGAAAAGTTATTGTTATACATTTTAAAAGGTTTGATAGATTATGTAATTCGAAAATTATTCAATGCGAAGTTCAGTTTATTTAAGAGTAATATGTTTACTTAGTGTCTACTCGCATAGATTAAATATAAAATATAAATGAAATATACATATACATAATATAAATATACATTAATATATATATTTAATATATTTAATCTATATGTATGTATCTATATTTAATCCATACTACTCGTCGTTAGGTTCTAGAAAAACATATTAAAAAACAAAATATTTTAACATTTTTTAACATTTATTTTTATTTTTAACACTTTTAATTTTTAAAACGTTAATCTAAAATTAATTGAATTTTCCCTTATATTTTAATTTTTGAATATATGTCGACGAAAGTTCCAAGAAGTAATTTTCTAATTTTTTAACAATATAATTTCCTGTATTTACATTAAATTCATATAGATTTTCACATTAATTACCGGTTAAGTCGAATAACGTTTTCGGTTTTACGAACCATGAGTGCTTGTTCCCAAAAACGCACAGCTTCCGGTAGAATGGTATTCTAAAAAAAAAAAAAAAACAATGATTAACAAAATTCTGATTTCTTTTGAAATGTGACAGTTCTAGAGGATAAAATCAATTAATCGGTCCGGTAATTACAAGGGTTTTAAGCCATTTAGTAGGTCGCATAGTACAATGTGAAATTGTTATCAATATACCCCTCTTACAAGGTAACGGTGTTATCCAATATAACATTACCAATTCTGATTATTAGCTTTAGACGCTTTCTAATATCCAGTTAGCCGACACGTGTTACTCATTGAAAATCGTTTCACATAATGGCCCAATCTTGATAGTGCACATTGAATCACAATTTTCGTACATAATTTTTTTATTTACATACTCTATCTAAGCAAAAATCTGTATGACAGTTTTGATAGGGGTAAAAGTTTTTGATAGATATGTAAAAAAAACATTCAACAGATGACACCTTTTTTTATCACAGTTTTTGGAAGTGTTATAGGACTCACTGATTATAAGTTTAATTTTATCAGGAAGTATATTTGGGATGGTAAAAACTCAAAAATGTCATATGGCCAATGTAAAAATATGAAAACTTTTATTTTCAAATTCTATAAAGTAAAGTTGATCAAAATAGTAGTTATAAAGTAAAAAAATCAACAAAAAGTGAACGGTTAGATAAATAAATTAAACTAATAATATAATACTAAAAATTAATTAGTTTGCACTATGGTTCATGATGCGCGAAGTGAGACGAATGCCTGACAATCATATATACCAGTACCTCACACATATCTACTCGTACTATATTATTGAATTAATAATAAAAACCATTAGAAAATTGGTCAACAAATTAATAACTTAACATTGATTACTTAATTATTATGTAATTTAAGTATATAAAAATTATTACTTCATATATTCCATATTTGCAACATCAACAGTTATACATAAAAAAATGTTTGGCCACCGACACCTGTATTGCTTATTTAATCTCTGCACACTTATAACAACTTTATGTTATTTTATATTTGAACTCGATAATTCATCATTTGAAAAACGATTCTATATGGAACACGGCTTATAAATAAACCAGCTAAAAGTTTATTTAAATATAATTGCTGGTGCCAATATATAAGATGATTAATAATAATAATATTTAATTAAGTGTAATTACACCGTTTCTAAAGATAATATTTTTTCAGTAGATTCTCTAATACAAACCATTATAAAAGAATTGAAAATTAAAATAGGGAAAAGTAAATATAAAATTCAAATATGTGTTTATAATATCAATTTTAAATGATTATTATTAATTATTACCATTGGATTAATATGACTACAATTCATAATTATTTGGTGTCATCAAACTTACTTATTCAAAAACACGTTTTCATATTTCATCGAAAAATGGTGATACGATTAATATATATATATATATATTTTTTTTAAATAAAACATTATTTACTTTTTATCGCATGTTTTTTCAACATACAGTAGGATTATTTATATTTACAAAAACCAAAATTAATACTTTTTCAAATATAAATATAATAACTTTAATACATTCGTAAGTTTAAAAAAAATGTAATACACATATATAAAGTTCTTTCTATTTTTTAAATTAAAACTAACCCAATCAATTTAAAATTCATGCTATATTATACTTTGATATTTTATGATAATATTTATTGAATATCTAATTAAAATACACAATATCGTTTAATACACTTAAAATAACTGGCACTCATAATAGTTGTTTGGTACCTATTAATTCATAATTAATAATTTGTTTAAAAATGCTATACCTCATATATACATGATTTAACTATAAGCAGATTTATACAATTTTAGCTAGATAATTATTTGAATGATTTGTTTTACAATTATTCAAATATATTTTTATTAGAATAACTTGAAAATACTTTTATTTGAATAATTTCCAAACAATACTAATATAAAATATAAAAGTATAACAGAATGATTAATATTCATTTTAGTACTAAAGTATACCTCGAACGCGAGGTGCAATTTGGGCGTAGTGTTCTGCACAGCAAACTACAATATTGTTTTATTGTATTAAGCATTAATACACGCACATGCCACATACCATTTAACCATTGGATATAGGCAAGTAGTATGTATCATCGTACCTTTATATATATTTATTAACATTTTTATATTATACATATTTTTATATTTATAAGTTCATATATAGAGTTCTATTTTAACTATATAAAGATTTTATAAATATTTTAGATAATTTGAAGTTACCTACTCTCAAAAAACTAATAGAAAATTTAAAAAAAATATAAATCTTTTAAAATAATATTTTTGAAACCTAATACCTATCATGTCTATTCGTGTTGTATTCGAAGCAATTACAGCAAGTATTGTAAATTAAAATAGTTAATTTATTAAAAACCCATTAATTATATATGTTATATGCACTTATGAACAAATATGCAAAACATGTAATATAAAATTTGGTTTGATATGAATCGTGGACATTTTAAACTTCCATAGACGTGCATATACTTAGTACAAACATGCAAATGCATATAAATCCGGGCTCTAATTATGAGGTTTGAAAAATATTTAAATACATTTTTATTTGGACGATTATGATAAAATCATCAGAATAATTATTTATTTAAATAAAATGTTATCTTAATAAAATATCATTCGAATAACGACTTACTCTGACTATAAGTAATCAATACGTTAAAATGATATACCTAAGCTATTTTTAATGATTGAATAAAGTTTAATACATTTTTTATAGAAAATAAATAAGATTTCTTATTTTAAGAATTTCTTACTCATGTAAGTAATATTTTTTTTTCTGTAAACGTAAGTAAGCATTGAATGTTTGACAAAAAATAAAACTCACATTAGTGATGAGCGATACTATCTAGGTAATTTCATCCCTATATATTGATTTCGATAATATTCTTGAAAATATGTATATTATATACGTATAATACATAGGTATTTGAGAAAATGTAATGATAACATTTATTTAAAAGAATATTTATAATATTATACTAATTATCTGCTAGCTACAAGTAACGTTTTATTAAGTATAAAATTCAAATCTTTAATAAAAGTGTTGACATATTAATTTTCTATTCGCATATTCATATTAAATTTAAAATAATCTTAAGTTGAACCTCAAAATAATTAAACTAATATAGTGAAATTAACCTTAACAAAATACCTTGTGGTCTACATTATTATTTATTTTGTAATTTATTTCTTTTCAAGTTATAAATAATTTACAAGTCTTCTATACTTGAAAATAATACCAATGGATCAAATTCATTTATAGTTTTAAGAAAAAATTTGAAATGTTTCAAAAAGTTAAAAAAGTTATAAAGTAAAAAAATAATATAAAATTAATTTTTAATGGTTTTATTTATATTTTATATATTCCATATAAGATAAAAATAACAATAAGAAAACCATAAGGGAATTTTATCGTTAGTTACATGTTGTTTGGGCCGGGTGCTACAAATAATATGCCGCACTCCCGGATACCGACTTTTGCGTGTCGCACAGCACCGACCGACTTTGTTTGTGAGGTGTGTAGTGCGGTATATAGCTCAACTAGCAGTGTTTGGGTTCGCCTCGCAAATACTAGTGAGCTATGTTATGTTATTGTGTGTAGGAGTGTGTATATATATATATAAGTGTATTGTGTGTGCTTAAAATTATAGTAGGAACAAAAAAAAGGTAACTAAAAATAATATAAAAATGTAATAAAATGGTAACTATGTTGCTGTATATTATAAAATAAAAGTAATTATAAGCATCGGCCCTTCTGGCCAAAAATAAATATTAAGATTTAGAATATTTAGGTAATAACAAGAAATAATTTACAGCAACATAGACAATTAAATTAAAAAATATTTAAATAATTATGGCCCTTTTGGCCCAACAACAAAATAAATAACAAATAAATATAAATAAAAACAACTGATTCATTAAAAACGATATGAAACTATGTTATTTGTGGAAAGTAGAATTAAATATTCTCTACAAAACTCATTATTGTGTCAATTTACGTTTCAGGTTTATTATAATGATTTTATATGTCACTAAAAATGTTTTTTTACATTTTGTTTGCTGTTTTTCTTTAAATTTCAGATATTATCATTCAATAAAATATGGTAAACTTTAAAATACTTTAATATACTTATGAATAAAATTTCTTATACGATTTTCAGTAAAATAAAAGTAGAAATTAATAAAATTATAATTTTATAAATTTATCATCGTATAATTTAAGCTACTTAAGAACATTTTCTTAATAATGATTAATTATAATTTAAATTTTCCTATTATTAAACAAAAAATACAAATTTTAATGAAAACAACTAAATTATTATAAAAATAATAAATAATTAAAGTAGGATTTCATTAAAAATAACGATTCACCACCATATAATATCATTGTATTCAATATAAATAATTTCGACATATTAACTTGGATATTATTAATTAAATTTAATTGTTTACATAATTTTTAATTGGAAATGTAATAAATAACATAAAGTTCTATTTCAATTCAGAACATACATAAAATTAACTTATTTATTAGTTATGGTACTGAAATTACTAATTTAAATTTATACTAAAAAAAGTATGGACTATATGTAATTATATTATTTAAAGGAATTGGGGCCGATAAGCATCGAGAAAACATTTCGCGCACTTTATTGAAAAAGTATACTATATTATATTTAAACTGAATAAATTATTGTACAATTTACAATTTTAATGTTTTCATACAAATATACAATATGAAATTTAAAATACAAATTGCTTATAAATATTGTTTTGGAAATTATTTATATATATAAGTATAATTATTTATTGTAAACAGCAAATATTATATCATTACAATTATTAAATACAAAATGTAATACTAAAATATAAATTAAAATATTCCAACTATAATATTTATGATGACATTAAAAAATAATTATTAATATTGTGTAACAATTATATTGCCGCGGCCCGTCTCACGAAAATTAA